TATTTCCGCTATCAGCCACAATACAATTTCCGTCACTACCGATGGATAACCCGTAAGGATAGCTGAGTTGGTGATCAAGATTTCCCTTTCCACCAAACTTGCTCAGAAACTCCCCCCGCCCACTGAAAATTTGAATTCGATGATTAGCTGAATCTGCTATGAAGATGATTCCGTTTTCATTACCGATTGCAACCCCTATAGGCGAGTTAAACTCTCCCTCTTTATCCCCCTTAGACCCAAATGATCTTAAGTAAGTTCCATCACTACTAAATAATTGGACCCTGTTGTTATCATTGTCAGTGACTAAAATTTCATCGCGTTCGTTCACTGCTACTCCCCAGGGACATCTAAAATCTTCCATGACCGAACCATATTTTCCGAAGGATAATACGGGTCTGAACTGTCTAGGTTTTACTTTAGTAGCACAGGGACTGTTACGAATGTGCTCTCCATTAACCTTCACAGACACACGGCATTTTCCGGTGTCTTTTGCAAAATAGCTGATCTTGTAGCTACCATCTTTGTTATCCAGGACTCGAGTCTCCGTTGCACAGTCACGGCCTTCCTGATTTTTGATCTCCACTGTTACATAGTCACGTTCTTCATAACATTGTTCTCCTTTAGCATTTCTTGTTGTCAACATTATGTTTGCTTCTAGTCCAATGGTCGGCTTACTGATTCCTTTTCCGGAGGCGCTCGACTCAGTTGGACTAGTAGGAAGTACTTTCACAAAGCCAATTCTGTCAGTCCATACATGATCAAACAATCGTTGATTTCTCACAAATCCAAAATCTGCAATGCTTTCATTGCCAATGCGAGGATAAACTGGCTCAACTTGACCCTGAAATGTTTCTTCTATAATTTGGTTTGACTGAATGATTTCAGCGCTCATATTCCGTTGAAGAATTGCCTCAGTAGCTTCGATGCTTGTTTCAGTTATTTTCACTTGCTTTTCAATCTCACCTCTTTGTATCCTCAGCCAATGCATGGACTCTGCAGCTCTGTTGTCTAAGTCATCAAAGGTTTCTTGCTTTTGTGCCTCGATAACAGCCATCATGTTGTCTACAAACTGTTGCACGCTTTTCTTTACACTGGCGACGTGTTCTTGAATTTTGGCGCAGTCCGAGTCAAGTCGAGCAATTTCACGTCTTTTCGCCAATGCTGTTTTTCTCTGATTTTCGATCGCAGACTTCGCTTGTAATTTTCTTTCATTTGCAGCTTCTTCCAAAAGCATCTTGGCGTGACCGTCATGAGTAGTGACAACGCACGAATGGCAAATTGCAACACAGCAATCTTTGCAGAAAAACTCCAATTCCTTA